ATTTCTCTATAATAAGAAGAATGAGGGGATTGGACAACCATCCAGATTTGAAACAGTTTGGACATTCCCGTTTTGCTTTGCAGGAAGAATTATTGCACAGTTATCTCAGTGGTTCACGTAAAGGAAACACTGGGGCTGTGAAAAGACATCTAGATACAATTGATGACTCCAGTACCAGTAAGGAAAAGAAAAAAACTAATTCTATTCCTGTTTTTTATTTACAATTCTAATTTCACTACGAGGTGTTTTGAATTCAGTATTATTTTATAGTAATTTGGTGTGGTGCTTTTTCTTACTACTTGTAAACCCTACCCTACTTGTTTTCATATTAAACTTTTCAAACATGCATTAGTATTTCAGTTGATTTTCCCTTAACTTCTATTTTTAAAAATGTGTTGATATTCTTTAATTTAATTGGTGATTATCAAGGCAACTATGGAAGAGGTCATAAGATAATTATTTTCCACTTTACAAAAAATCTTATGGCAGCAAAATACAATTTAAATACAGAAAAGACAGAATATATGACTTAACAGCTGCTTTTGAGTTTACTTTTTACTTTTTCTCTTCGGTGCTACAGATGCTGCTGTATTTTTCTCTTTTGTAGCAGAAGTGCTGGGTGAAGCTGTTGATGTGGGTGGCTTTCTTGACTTAGAAGGCTTCGCTTGAGTGGCAGGCTTACTGGGTCAATCTGTTAATGTAGACTTTTTTCCCCGGGGTCTAGACTTTGCTTCAGGTTTAGACGCACTAGGTGAAACAGACGCATCTGTTTTTTTCTTGTGAGATTCAGTAGCGGAAGATTTTACTTCAGAGCCCGCTGTACTGTTTGAAGCATTTGAAGGATGTGATTTGCCAGTGGAAGCTGGGGAGTCCACTTCAGAACTCTTTGCTTTATCGCCAACAGATTCCTGAATCTTCTTTGGATTTGTTGGTTTTCTTTTCAAATTCTCTCTGGTAGTTGCTATATTTATCTCCTTACCAGATATCTGTTGCACTTTTAGTTTGGCATGAAGTCTACCTGAAACTACTACCATTGAGTAACATTGAACTAAATCATTTATAAAATCAAGAGCAAGATCTTCAGCTAATATGCCTCTTACATAAAGTGCGCAACTTTTCTAATAAAATAAGGTTCTCAGCATTAGTCAGATCATCAAAAATATTGCTTGCCAAGCATGGTAAACCCTTATCTTGAAGACTCTGAATAAATTTTTCAATTCCAAGAAACATGCTAAGAGCTGTTTCACTGAGGACAATGTCCCCTGACACCCAAAGTTTCACATCAAGAAACATTTTATTAGTAAGAGTAGAAACTGACTCGACAAACCTTTCCCGAAGTGTTCTACATCTTAATTGCCAAACATTATTTTTACTGCTACAACCCATACTATATACCGATCTTAAGAGTGTTCCTATATGCTTCCTAAATATTATAACTTCACTATCACTCATTTTATATTCTTTGTGGGCTGCCTGATGGTTTCTCTTCATTAGAAAGAACACTTGTTCTTGCAGCTTGTACAACATTTTTGTGCATATTCTCCAAACTAATCTTTGATAAACCATATCAACAACTTCAGGCAGTTCAAATTCAGATGACAGATTAAATAGGTGGGTAAGTTTACTCTTAATACTATCACAAAATGAACCAT